AGTAATCGGATTTTCTCAACAATGTTTGACATTGCAGAGATTTTTTAAATACAATTTAAGAATAAATCGGTTTTAGAAACCGTAAGAAAAGCTAATTCTTTCGTTTCTATTTAATATAGTACACAATTACGAACTACTGCTGTGCAGAACAAAATATTTATACATGATTTCGAGTATTCTTTGTTTCTTTTATGCGTTTTAGCGTCAAAATCCAACACATGGAACATGTATACAGTGACGAATTGCGGGCAAAAAATTTGATTCTTAAATGCTCAAAATTACTTCGCTCTCGCTTTTAGTACTTCGTTAGCCACATCCAAAGACTCGTTAGTAAAAAATCTTATCACAAACTTCGTGGCTTTTTTTGTGTAATACTATGTATACCTTAAATTAATTTTACACATATTATTTATACTTTCACAGCTGATATTTCTTCCCATTGGTTTTACTCGTTCGCTCAAGAAAAGCTTTATTCCAAACATTTCAAAGATTAGATTAATAATCTTCAGCGCTCTTAATTGCATTCATTCATACAATGCGGTTTCGACATGTTGGCTACAAAAAAATTATACTGACTTCCATTTAACATTGAACGATGCTAAACACGATCTACATCGAAAGCTGCTTTTTGAGATTCCACTAATTACTATCGAGCAATTTGATAACGAATTAAATAAAATTTATAGATCAAGATTGCAGCGTTAAAAAAAACTATTGCGGGTACAAAACGTTGAATCATCAGACTTAATATAAATGCAACATGATTGCAGCTTCTTTTTTTAATCCATGATTGAGGTACTGTCAGATCGTCTAACAGATTACCTTATTTACATTCATTCATACACCTCATAAACAATTCATAAATACAATCTCGCGAAAAAACATGATAGTAGTGATTTGAGTGTCTTGCACACAGTCTTTAGCATTAAAATTTAATTAACATTTTGATCACTCGAATAATTTCTTCGCCCTCCATAATTTACTTCTTTTTAAATAATTTTTAACTTTTATATCTGTATTTACGTATAACCGATATCTTTTTATGTTTTCAACGCGTGTCGCAGACGTACGCATATATATTTTTATTCTATTCGTAACGTACAAATTACCATGGACATTGTATCACATTAATCATACGACCTCGCTCAGCCTAATTTATGCTTTTCTTTGCATATTATACATAATGAACTGAAAAAGCCTTGAAAGTACGATTCTTCGTTACGTAAAATATAGTACAATTGAAAGAAAGAAATACGTATGTTTCTTTTCTGACTTGTAGTACGAACTTAAATACTGCATCGAAATATATGCTTCCCCTTTTATGTAAAAGACGGCATCTAAAACTTTATCGTACGACGTAAATATGTACATTGATATTTGTACTTTCTATTAAACTTCTAACAAAACTTTCTTTCTAATTCAATTCATTTCTTTTTTTGCTTGTTGTTAACATTTATTGAATCTCCGATCCAGCACCTTTAAAATTAATCCTCCGTTAGCTACATTTTTAATTGTAAGTATTCCGATGACATAATCCAACAAGACAAACTTTTTCCATTTTTTACAATATGATTTCTATAGAGTTTCTCATGTCAAAAACAAATCCGGGACCAGAATTATTGTACCATGTACTGTTTGCGAAAAATAGCAGTTTTTATAAAAAATACATGATTTTCGGGAGAAATGAGGTATTACATGTTTTTGTACATGGTTTCTTTATCAGAAATGTCTTTAAAATCCAATACTGCAAATTCCTCCTGGGTAAACGAATTTTCACGTACATACAAAAATGGTACATATAAAATGCATAAGGTTTTTTCAAACTCCGACAACTCTTTACAACTGTTAAAAAGTACGAAAGTAAAAGATAAACTTTCTATCGTTTTTAGTTCGTACGTAATACCATAGATTTCTACAAAAACCGCTATTTAGTGGAAATAGTACGTGACAGTGCATTTATGCTGCTTCTGGATTCGTTTTTGTCATGAGAAACTCTATAAAAATGAGGTAATGGACATTGCACAAAATGTGTAAAAAGTTTAACTTACGTTAAGGCCCCGATACTGCCGTTCAACGTCTCTTGTTTCCATGACGTCGGCTGAACTTTCGATTTTTTCTGCGAACAGATAGTAAACATGAATTATGTATCGTAAAATGTTTTTCGTCTGCTGCCCGCTTATCATAACAGATAAAAGAAACGTAAACATGTGTACGTACCTAATTTTACTCGGCGAGGGAACCGGAGCGTGTTCGGCGATTGCAGGTAACACTGAAATAAATTTGTCAGTTGGACGTAAAAGGCGTGCCGTGCGAGAGGATAATCTCCATATCAGTCTTTGTCTGTGTGGCGTCTGCTCTTGAGCATTGTACTTGCTCAACACGGTGCCCACAGCCTCGTGTGTTGAAAAAAAGCTTGTGTCTGAAATCTGTAAACAAAGATGCCACGATCTTAGCAATTTCATTCATCCATCGTGCTCGATAAAGAACAATGGCTCGCGAAAGTATTCAGACATCTTTTAAAACGAAATGGCTTTTTTAATAGTGGACTAAAGAATGTAATTTTCTGTAGTATGCTAGAAGACTTAGTTTACTATGCAATATGTAAAAAATATTGTCCTGAATTTTTATTATTCGGAATTGCGAGAAAAAGAGTAGATGCGATTTTTAATTTTTTTTATTGTGGTCTGTAATAAAAATTTGGAAAATCTCAGTTGTAGATCTAAGTAAGTTATATGCATTTATAGTCGGGGAAGGATACTCTTGTAAAACAGCCAGGTTCCTATTCCTCACACCTTTAACAAAGGAGGTCATAATAACACACTGTAAACTGAATAACATACCATTATACTTGGAATTCCGAATGTCTTTGTAAATCATGTCCTTTACTTATGATTAGCAGTTTTTTTTTAAGTTTCTGTCACACATTATACAATGAATTAAGCCTTCAAACATCGCACAGAAAATTCAAGTCAGTAGGTCCAACGTTAAAAAGAGTTATTTCATTTTAAAAGGGGTCCGGATACTTTCGTCAGCTACTGTATATAAAAAACCGTAGAACCATCGGATTGTTACCTTACATATTTTCTGAAGGTCTATAGAAAACTCCAGTAGTCGAAACATCTGCTGTTTTGACGTTACAGATATATTGATAGTAGAGGAACTAGGTGTTGTAGATGCGGGAGTTTCTGCATTAGTATCTAATCGATTCACTACACCATCTAAATACGTGCAAAGCAAGACGAGCGCCACTTCCGAAGACCTCAAGCTTGCACAGTTACCGTCACAGGCAATCATCTCTAGCCTGAGGAGAAGCTCGGATTCCTGAAACGATACCGTTTATTATTAGACAAATTCCTTTATTATTATCATTCGTTATTAAATATAAAATAGAATAACTGTCTTAACATTGGATCAAACAACACCATCCTCTTTGGTATGTTAGGAAATCTGTTTTTCTGTATAATATGTAACGAAAAATTGAAAACAATTGCTATTCGTTAGTATCTTGACGAAAATGTTTAACTTTTACTCCAATAAAAATTTTAAACACCCAATTTGTAGATCGAAGTTATAATTAGACTGCGAATTGTTATGCAAACTACAACATTTATTCTTCTAATTTAAAGAATAAAGTCCAGATAGCGATTTATTATACTCTTTAAAGATAATGATGTATAATATATTTTTGACATTTTTGCATAGTAAATTTAAAAAATGTTTTGATCTAATACTAAAAAAGTAATTTTATTTTTAAGTGTATCCAAATATTAATAAAAATCACTATATAGAATGCAATATCTCACCGTAACGATAGCAGTATACACTTCTCCGAGTCCTAGCTGTGTTGCAACAGCAAGGAACATCGCGTTGAACAATCGAAGGAAAGTTAACGACGTAACGGGTTGAGTACCAGGCGCCCATTCTAACTTATTCCGTATTACTTCCGACATGCGTTTAAGATCGCCGCCGGTGCACTTGCACTGCGATATGGAGACCAAATGATCAGCGTCTAGCGACTGCGCCAATTGGACAGCGGCTATATGGAACGCAGACACGCTGATACAAGCCATGTGCTTTGGTCTTGCTTTCATTTTCGTTAAGAACCGATCCATTAAATTGATGGCAACGAAAAATACGTCCGATGGTAAGTCATACCATACTTTTAAACATCTTAAAACGTGGGCTGATCCATCCCGGGCTCCGATTGTTATTTCATCATTCTGAATAGAAAATATTGTACAGAAGGAAATATTTATAGTATTCATTTAATGACGCAGGATTCATTTATGCGTACCTGTGATATATTAGGTAGCTGAAGGTTAGGCTGATATTTAACTTCAAGGAGCAATGCTTCTTGCAATTGTTCAAGCAACGGGTGGATTGCATCCGGTACAGGCAAGCCCGACGTATCCATTCCTGCAATGTGTGACTTGCAGCTCACTACAGCAACAATTAAAGAATAAAACTGATGCAAAGTGTGCGTAGTGTAGCTGATGATAAATATGTCACACCACAAGAATGGAGCAGCTGGCCAGCCTTGTATCTGAAAAATAATATGCATATTGGAAATATTAAATGTTAATTAATATTAATTAGTCATTCAATGAAAAATACACACATGATTAAAAAGTTGTGTAAAACCTGCACGAGTATTGTTATGAAACGAAGTATTCTGCCGTTTGAGCAATTAAAGATATGGAACATTATTAAAAATATGTCTAATTACTAAAATAATTATTTCAAACTCTTTATCGCACACGTGTGCATGTGTGTATATTCACGCTCTATCAATTTAAGTTTCTCGAATGAACTGGTAATATATCTCGTTCGACGTAACTCCGTTAGATCTCACATCTTCTTTTACTATGTAAGAATTGTTAATTACTAATTGAGAATGCGAACTCTCTATCGAAAGAATTTTATAAAATTAAAATAAAATTATATTATCGTACTTTGTATTATTTTTTTTTTATGTCATAATAGAGTAATAATAGAAGTTGTATAGTAAGGAATTTTCTAGACATTCTCAAATCAAATATTGAAAAAAGATAGAAATTGTGTTACATCACTTTGATACCTGTATCGAATTTCTCATTGTATGTGATATTAAAAAAAAGGAAATCTTCCATAAAATGAATACGAATCACGATAATGTAATTTGATTTTCATTTACTTATTTCACAGTCCAACAATAATAGAAGTTGTATAATAGGGAATTTCGAAAAATTTTCAAATGGAATATTGAAAGGAAGAAGTTACGTTACATTACTTTGAGGACACCTGTATTGCATTTCTGACTGTACGTGACATTGAAAAGAAAGAGAATCGCGTAGGAAGGTATTAAAAGGCTGACGCAACGAACTGTCAAAATTAAAGGGACGTGACGGAGGTCACGCATCGAATCAAAACAAGTTACTTCAAATATATAAATAAAAGTCTACACAATTTCTCGTTTTTTTACATTAAATTACAAAACGCTACATCAACAAAATTAAGTAAGTAATATCATGTGGCTAATAAATGTGTTTACAATCGAGCGAATTCTCAAATTACCCAAATATCATGATGTAATATTAATAAAATTGTATCTAGTAATGAAAAATAGATAAAAGAGCTATAAAGAGTAATAGTTTATGTCATAATTTCCTCAAAATTTGCGTCTTATCGCGAGTACGAAGTTCTTGATTCAAAGTTGGATAAAATCGAGTTAAGTCTAATTGTAAGCAACGGCTAAACTTTCCTGAATAATTCAGTAAAAAGCAAGTTATTAGAACGTATTTATAAATTGGCTATGTTATTAACTTGGCGATAAAATATTTGGATTTACAGATAAAACTGACTCATTCATACGTACCCTTCATTTCGAAGAAAGAACACTCTTATGAAATCACAAAAATCGCCGAAAAATTGTACGCTTTATCTTTTTTCTTTACTTAAGTATAACAACGAGCTGCTACACGGCACAAAACACACTATGAAAATCAGTTTGTATCTACGTTGACCCGTACTCGATTCGAATGATACTGTGTTGTGTGCCTTGACTCGGCGGCTCGCGTTAGCTTTGTAAGTCGTCACGGATGAGCAATAACCGAGTTGCTACGAACATGTACGAATTCGAACGAAGTTGAAACAACAACAAGACAACGTACAAAATTTTCATTATTATCAAACGAACCACAATTATTTAAGTAGCTAGGAACAATTAAAAATTGTTATTATGTAATTGTTGTTGTTGTCTTTGCATACTTTTTATCTTATGAATCAAATAGAAGCTACCCTTTGGTAAATGCCATTTCTTTCAGCGTTGCTTCTAGAATAAACAAAAGATGTACTGTATGTATACAAACAATTAAAGAAAGCGGATCTAACTCATTGTTACTGTTAATTCATGAAATACAGGATTTATGCTGAATTGCTCATCGCATGCAAAGGCTGGGTTATTTGTAGCATGAAGTGTTTCATTATTTAATGTTTTCGATGTTTTTACATGATATTAGATAAACATTAACTGATTGAAAGGATATTAAATGATGATAGTCGTACGATTACCACCATTTTGCTTTAATTGCGCGTTTCGACCTATTCCGCGAATACCGTTGGCGAAAGATAAGATTTTGAGTAAATACGTACCCGGATGCGTCCGAAACGCTTTCACGTCAGTAGATCACCCAATCTTGGCTTCTTTTGTCCTGTTTTTCGATACAGATAGGAAGTAAGTTCACTAGCGAAACATCCCGTTTGACAGTTGCTCTAACAATAAGAAATGGCGGAGGTACATATTTTCAGCTGATCATTACGCGTCACCGAACGCTCATGCGTACCAAATAGTCCCTCTGCCAATGTAAACAGAACTTTTGAAATCAATTCTATGCGCAACGCATTTTAAGCAATAAGTCAGCCAAAACTAATTTTTTTATATGGGTTTCATTAAGACGACGTCTCTTGCATGCAGTAATTCTCATGTATTATTACACATAATACATGCTTGAACAATGGAATATTTGATAAACAGATTGTTACTTATGATAAAAAATAGTTTATGTACACTATTTTCATGAAAAGGAAAAAAATTGGGCAAGTTTGAGGTGCCTAGTACTTACAATACTCAATATAATATCTCCTTACATTATTTTATTCCATTACTCTTCAAAAATGGTATACAAGAGAGTAGAGATTTCGTCTGCGATGTCGAAAGATATCTAAGTACCCCAAAGTTTAGAACCAGAAATTCATGTAAGAAGGAGAGTACGGTAAGAGTCTAAAGTTTAGGTAATTTAATATCCATCTGCACAGATGCGTATTGTAATAATCTATAAATGAGATTAAATACGGTCTTTTATACTTTCATTAGCATGTACAATTTTTACTCATTTTTATCTTGTTCTTCTTTCTCGCGCTCCAACGTCTTTACAATTTTCTCTAATGTATAGAGGTGTTCGTCGTTTACATCTGGAGCTATAACTCGCATAGCAGATGCCAGTTTGTATAAATATTCCGTGTTAGACCCACTAGGACCACAAGATTCTACTATATGTTGTGCTATCATGTGTATATTTTCTATGCCTGCATAATTTGGATTATCTTCTCCACCTATGTAAATTGTAATGTAAAATGGTCTGCGCTCAGAGTTGGATAATATACGGTAACCGTTCGGGAACGAATGCGATTCGATGTCATTGGTCGAGTACGATGGATAAAAGAGGACACTTTTCCTTTCGTAACCGCCTTTTTCTCTGTAGTCTAAATGTTTAATAACATTTTCTATGTTGTCCGGCGGTATCTTATAAGCAACTCCCCACACCTGGTCGTTCGGATTATCAGAAGAAAGTAACGTGACGACGCGACCGGGCTAGAACAAAATGTTTCACGCGCGACGAATTAACTTAAGTTCCACGTAGGAACGAGAGGAACTAATTAAATACATACTCTACTCGGTATTCCTCTATGGTCCGTACTCTTCTGATAAAATCTCCTAACGTATCCCTTGATGTGACCGACGCAGACTTCGGAGTATGGAAAGTCTGCTTTCCATATCAATGAGCCATAACCAAACACCCACATGATAATGTTTTACTTCTTTTATTAAGTAACAATTCCCTTAACAACTTTTCATTTGGGTTAACGCTCTCCGATAAAAGTACATCGATGTTAAATAGGACATTGTTTCCTAAAAGAAATTGTCTTATGAATTACTTATTCTAACGTTCACAATTCGTATTTTTACGAAGGCGACAAGCGCGACTAAAATTTAGAACAAAACTCATGAGTTATAATTATGATATCCCTACATGCAAGCTGCAAGGTCGTTAACACTTGAAAAGTATTTTGTATCGACTGTTTCGTCGGAAACGATTTTCAATCATGTTGCCTATAAATTACGTTACGATTAATGAGAATTTATAATACAGCAGTCGAACCATGTGCGCTCGCGCTGTCAAACCGAACAGCTGTAGCCACCTAGCCACAGCTAGAGACGGTGGCGGGGGCAATGCGCGGCATGCGATATGGCATATACAGCACCGGCAGTTGGCCGGTTCTAGCTGTGACGTCACTCGCGCATGCTTTTAGACGCTTAGTTACAAAAAGTGCCCTGGCCCCTGCCGAACACTGACTGTTGTTGACTGTCGTGTTCTCCGTGTTCTCCACTTCTCCAGTGTTCACCAGTGTTCTCGCATTCGCAATGAGAACGATGTCGTTCCTACCAATATAATATCGATCAAACATTAAATAGAATACACATTTAATTATTAAAAAATAGATTTGTCTATAGAAAATGTCTTCGAAAATTCTGTACACCGATGTTCTTGCGCTTTGCTGTACCGATGACTTCCTTTTCGCAGGTTGGTTTTACATTCGCTAACTGTCTTTATTTTGAATTAAGATACATTATTTATACTCTTTAATTTGTATGTAGGCATAGGATGTAGTTTACATATATTTGACGTCAAGACTTATGCATTCCAAGTAAAGTTAGATTGTCTCGAGCCACATATTATACATGGAATTGTTAACGGTCCTAATTCCATGTTGACCGTCTTCGGCAGGAACTTGTTTTGCGCGTATACCATTTGTCGTTCAATAGACAGCACAGCGTACGTTCCAATTTTAATTATTCTCCATCCGCTCGATTAACAATTGTACTATTTGAAAAAATCTATATTACAGAATCGATATCGTAGTTACTAAACAGCAGGTTCCCGACTGGATAATAACAGCAAAATGGTCAACAATTAATGGAAGTAATTGTTTATGTCTACTTCTAGCACACAATAGTGTATGTATTTATAATCCAGGTCTGAAGACTGCAGCAAGATATAACACATTTACATGTACAGAAAAATGTCTTTTGTATCCTTACACTCCTATACACTGAAATGAAAGCTGTACATGGATATTAAACTTAATTCTGTTATCAGATATGCAGGATACATATCAGTGAAGGATAACGGGAATCTAACTATCTTTAGTGGAACAGTATTCCAAGAAATCTTGATATGGGAGGTGGATCATACTAACAATAATGAGGCCTTTGTTTCACACCATTTAAAAGAACACAATGTTTGTTACATTTATATCTGAATAAGACAACATTCTTTTAGGCGATTCACAGAACTATAAATCTGTCAAACTTTAGGGTGTGATCTTTTCGGTGATTTATGATGCAGCTACGAAACTTATTTGCTCTACATCGGATGATAGAACAGTCAGATTGTGGAAAGTACATCCTAGAAATAAGAACGAGAAGAATATTACAGACTGGAAAGAAACTAAAGTAACATTGATGAAAACGATGTTTGGTCACACAGCTAGAGTATGGAGATGTATCATTAAAGATAAAAGTTTAATTACAATAGGAGAGGATTCTCTCATGTGCACTTGGTCACTAGACGGTAAATTGCTGAATAAACTTTCCGCCCATTATGGGGCTGCTGTATGGAGCATAGGTGTAACGAATGACAACAAAACTGTCTTTACTGGCGGTGCTGATGGCGCGATTCATGTATTCCCCGCCGTCAATGCATCTAATTCTGTGCCATCATCTAAGAAGTTTACTTGCGCCTCGCCGAAATACGTTTGCTGTTTACGTAGTGGGAAATTTCTGGTTTTCAGCGAAAACGGCACTCTGTTTATATTTGATAAAAAACGTAGCAATCCACAAAGGTCAATGTACTTAAAAAGATACAGTGACTATTGTGTTATGAAAGTTTCTCCGTGCCATTCGTATGTCTGTTTTGCATCGAAGACTGGATATATGGCGATGTACCAAGGTGAGGCAAATTATGTGATGTGAAAATTACATTAATTGGTCAAACCGTTGTGTAAATTGATTCCAGAGAATGAAAAGAAGTTAAAACAGATTTTCGAGAAGGAGATGATGAACTCGAAAATATTATCAGTACATTGGCTAGAAAATAATAACTTAGTGATATGTGGGATGGACGGTGTCTTAAAAATGTTCAATTTCACTCCCAAAGGTATGTCCAGTGAAATATAATGTAACTTAATGTATAATTAACTTTGGATGATTTCTCTCGTTTTGTACAGGATTGATTACAGTACAAGCAGTATGTATTTTGCCAGCTGCTCGCGAACGATGGTTAACAGCAGCTGCTTTATACGGAGGATTATTAGTGTGTGGAGATAGATCCGGAAACATGCACGTGTTCGACCTTAAGAAATTAACTCCGTGCAGTGAAGCGAATGTAGCTGAATCAAATAATAAACCAATTCAAACTTTCGTGAAAGTTCACGGAATAATCGGTGTCCAAACATTTATGGTCTTACTTGACAAATTGGTATCAGCGGGTCGCGATGGGATGTTGCGATTCTATGAATTATGTACAGAATTAAACACGCTACGTGCTTTGCACGAAGAAAAAGTGCCAATAGACTGGATTGCCGATAATATAAGTTTAGGATCTGAAATTTATATTTTCGGTTTTCAAGAGGTATTTAGGTATTATTCGTATTTCTTTTAAATGTCTTCTCATTCTCTTATTATCCATTTACAGACGGATTTTGTAATATATACTTACCATCATATGTATTGTCATCGGGTACTAGCAAAGATACCATGTGGCGGTGGCCACAGATCATGGGATTGTTTAATGTCGGACGATTATACTATTACGTTCTTGTACATCCGTAACAAAGAAATATTTCTATCTGATTTCTCAATCGGTCCTTTCATGCCTAGTATACTAGCTGTGCGAGTGAGTAATTTGTTTCTATACATAGTAGCTAGGTTGCAGATTTTTTAAGCGCTGTTAAGTGCCATTACATGCAATAGTCTTTTACTTTTTCACTCGTCACACCGTATTTTATAAACAGCCCCTTAATTTCCAATTGGTGTTTGATTGAATTAAATATTTAATCATTTATCTGCAGCCCTGCAAAGGACGAAGCGAAAATATCTAAGATCATTTAAAATTTCCAGCATGGATATCATACAAAAGAGATACACTGTATGAAACGATTGTTACATAAAGCTAGGCACAATATTTTTATATCGGGGAGCGAAGATACCTCTGTTCGGATTTTTTATGCTCCAAATATAAGCGAGTACTGTACCCCTTTTACACTAGCTGTTCTCGACGGTCACGTTTCTAGTATAAAATTTGTGACCTATTTGGATTTACAACCTAATCGCGAATCGCATAAGAAGTATCTCATTTTCTCCGGGGGTGGAAGAGCTCAAATAAAAGTTTGGGAAATCGAAATAAATCTTGATACTTACATGTTAATCAGAAGTTACGTTTCTTGCAACGATATTACATCTCATATGTTGTACGGAACTGATCAAGAACGAAAAAAGCAATCGCAGGAATCGACATACAATGCAGAACCTGAGACACGATACATGGACATAGATACTTATCATTACGGTATAAATTACGTATTGCTCTTCGTTGCCTGTGCAGATGGATTTGTAAGGTATGACAATTCACCTTTTGCCTAATAATTTTAAAGTAAAACTCGGCCCCGCTCATATGTCAACATTCGTTTTCAGAATATTTTTATACGATATCAATGCAAAAACTATCTCAATAAAAGTAAAGACGAAATGTGCTAATCGGTGCATAACAAAAATAACTGTTTTAAAATGCAATGAGAAAGTAATTGCGCTAATAATGCCAACTGATGGAATCTGTCGATTTATTGACTTCACCCATATTGTTTCAAAGATAAAATCGAAACCGGAAGAAGAATTTCAGAACTGTGAAAGTTCTCTATCGATCACAGGGTTCAATTTACATCAATCTGGAATTAATTCGTATGATATAAAATCGATAGCAAATGACGAGTATTTATTAGTAACTGGTGGCGATGATAATTTACTTAATATTGTCCGCTTAAAAGTTGTGTCATTGAGCGACATACAAATTTTATTATTATCCAAATGGAGCAGCTCAGAGGCGCACGTCGCTCAAATTACGGGAATAATGTTTCACAGAGAAAATACAATTTTCACCGCTGGGATAGATCAACGTGTGAACATATACTATTACAATTATATTGGAAGTGGTCTAAACGCAAGAATTTTAAAGACGATTCATACGTCCGTATCAGATATAAAGGGTTTAACTTCATGGTCTAGACAGTACGTATAAAATTTAATATTAAATTAACGTTGATATTAATCTATGATTATTTTAGGGAAGAGTCCTTCTTATGCGTTTATGGTAAAGGATTCGAGATATTGGAAGTCCCTTTGAGATGATCATCGAGTAAAAAGAAAAATAACATTGTTCCTTACAATTATAAGTTAAGAAATATAATATATAAAATTTCATACATGTATATAAATAGCTTAATAAAATTATTTTCCATTTCCTTACATTATTTTGTTCCATTACTCTTTACATAAGGAGTTTAACTTCGTAGTATAATTCAGAGTACAGCTACCCAAAACGATTCCCAACGTGCTTGTAATGTACAATGTAATGCCAACTTTGTTTTGAGCGACTAAATAGAAAATTCTAAAGAATAACAGTCATTATTTTCTAAACAATTAATTTATAGTTCTGCGATTTATCTTTGATTTGATTTAGCTTTGATTTGAGGACTGTTTCATCAAAATCTGTGGAATGGAACTTAAGATATAAAAATTTTTCTTCGTGTCGACCAAAATTATATGATTTTTATTCGAATTTTATAGTTAGGATTCATTTTTATTGCAATCGAGTTCATGATGTAAAAACATTTTTACACCATGATCGAGTTTAAATGAATTACTCCATTGAATTGTTCCATCAGAGAGAAACTCTGAAGTGCAGAAGCAGAGATGAAAAGGGAGATTGCTCATTTCTTTGATTGCTCTGGTTCCATCTTATATGGTTTACGACATTCAAGATTCAGAATTTAGAATACGTTTTTGTATATTTACGGTGTATATTTAATCATGAGCGATTCATCCTCTCTATGATTATTAAATAATAAGTTTCATATAATGATTTATTCATACGGATTTGAAAAAAGGGAAAGTGAATCACCACCGTAGCTCGGTCGTCAAACGGAAAGTGAATTAAAAATAATTAAATCGTCTTAATGAATAGAATGAAATATATTTAATTTAACTCTTACAGAAGATGAAAATTGATTAACGCTAAGTGAAATAGAAATGCAATTGAAATCTCTAAGATTGAAATACAAACAATGTCGAAGGGAGGATTCGGAGGATTTTGGAGGATTTTCATCTCTGGTAGCGCCATTGAGCTGCATCATCAGCTGCAT